TGATGGTTGATGAATAAATAAAAATTCATCGCCAGGATGAAAATAAATTCGAACTATCGAGCGTTTTGAGATGCGACAGGTACATTCCATTCCCATCTGTATTCCCATTTATTCACATTCCCATTCTACTTTTCAAGCATTTCAGTCATTAACATCATAAGAAATGTTGTCGTTCATCACGGAAGAAGTATTGTACCGGTTGAAAGAACATTCGATACAAGCGATACAAGAATAAAAAATTGTAAAAATTGAAAAAAGAAATCGATATCATCAAATTCAGAAATACTCGATCTACCTACACCAAATCATATTTTCTGTCGTACCAAAAAGATCAATCAGTTCTTATTGCTCATGAGTGACGATATCAGCCAATATACTGAAGCATCTACAAGATATTTCTGACTTTTGTTCAGGCCTAAACGAACTAAAGATACTCAGAAAATAGGATAAAAACGAGTACCATTATAATGGCGTTTCATCATAACAAAACAACACCAAATATTATCTTCTCTCAATCAATCCCCAGTGTTGATAAGAGATACTCGATATTGAAGCCAATATATTGAGCAACTTACGAAACATTTGTGATTAAACAGACTTTTGTTCAGACTCGGATGAGCTAATGATACTGAGAAAATAGGAGGAAGAAGAGTGTTGCCATGAACTAATCATATTTACATACCCAAGTGAAAAAACACTGTCACAGTGGCGTTCTATCATAACATAGCAACTGCACGAAATACCAATTTCCCGATCACCCCCGTTACCTCCTACGACACCTCCAAATTACCTAAAATGGGTAATATCACCCCCTATGAGAAACTCTGTTCTACATGAACAATAAAATAAGTCATGCACAGCAAATTTAGTAACTTATTCAGAATGTGTTCAGGTATCATAATGCGATGAAACGTAAAAGTTAGAGATCAATTCTGAATGCAGATAATGCATCTGGATGTGTTTCTGCACATTCAGATGACTCTTGAATTGTTTCATCCTAAATGAACAGGGCGTTCGTCTGTGATAACTTCGGTCGAATTGGTAGCGGTACTTGTTGTCATTAACGGTATTTTTTGGCGTAGACAGGGGGCGCACATACTCATCATGAATATCCACTAAAGGCTGTCATGCCTCGTTACAATGCCATCGGTTGTTATAACTTTTGGATCTCTGAAAAAAGTTTCCCAAGATCTTTGAACTGAGAATGGAATCTGGTATAGATTTTCACGCGCTTCAAAACGTATGTCATCGATATCCCCAACAAGCTTTCCATC